TGGGTTTCTAGTCATTTCAAATGTTCTTAAGCATATTTGAGACCAGGTGTTCTGGTCAAAGTTAACTGATAAGTCTGTCAACCATTTTACCATAGGGAGCGATATTGAGTCATTTATGCCAGCCAATTTTTTGTAGATTTTAGAGAACAATTTGGGGGATTTAAGATTTAGAAATTCTAATATATTTGATGGAGTTTCTAATAAAATATTATTGAGCATAAATATAGATTTTATTTTAGATTTAATTTGTTGATATTCTAAAAATTTATTCTCGTCAATGCCATATTGTATTATTAATCTATTAAATGGAACAAAGTCTGCACCCTCAAATATATGTTCCAGTAGTTCAACTCATTTACATCTCCAACCACGCTGTTAGAGATGTGACATTTTACTAACAGTAGAGACAAACAAACATGGAGACACAGGCAAAAACATTATCACCCTTTCACCTTTGGCAGTGATAAACATGAAGACAGTTGAAAGTTTGGGAGACGATTAAGTTTGTTTTATTTACAAACTTTATATGTTTTTAGATGATACAGTAGATGAATTTGTCCAAACATTAAGCCTTGTGGATCTCCACAGGTTATTTATCTGATTCCAGTTGCTAAATGAAGCAGATGTTCTGATGAGTGGTGGTTTCATGTTGAGTTTTAGTTTGAACAAACAAAAGCTGAAATCTTTATTAAAGATGACGTTTCTTCTTCCCACAGTTCTCTCCTTTCAGTCGGACGGTGTTGGCATCCTGCTCCTACGACTTCTCTGTCCGGTAAGATCAGCTGATTTTGTTGCTCTTCAGGAGTTGGTTGGTTGGTTGATTGAAGATGTTTTCTGGATGAATCCTCCACCTCCAAAGATTTCAGAACAAAAATGGTGACTAGAGGGGAAGTTGAACTTAGAGAAGAAAAACAACAAGAAACTGTTTTGACAAACAACCAAATATTTGGCTGAACATCTTCTGAAACTTTCTCTAGTCTCAGATCTCTAGTATCTAGTCTTAGTTCTTGGGTCATGGGTCTTGGGTCTCTAGTCTCTGGTTTCTAGTCTTTGGTCTTGGGTCTGTAGTCTTTGGTCTCTGATCTTGGGTCTTGAGACTTGGGTTTTGGGTCTCAGGCCTCAGGTCTGTAGTCTCTGGTCTTTGATCTCTAGTCTCTGGTCTTGGGTCTGTAGTTTTTGGTCTCTGATCTTGGGTCTTGAGTCTTGGGTTTTGGATCTCAGGCCTCGGCTCTGTTGTCGCTGGTCTTGGATCTCTAGTCTCTTGTCTTGGGTCTGGTCTCTAATCTTCGATGTCGGGTCTCTGGTCTTGGGTCTCTTGTGTCTTGTCTGGGGTCTCTGGTCTTGAGTCTCTGGTCTATGTCTTGGGTCTCTTGTCTCAGGTCTTGAGTCTGGGGTCTTGGATATCTGGTCTTAAGTCTTGGGTCTCTGGCCTTGGGTCTTGGGTCTTAGGTCTTAGGTCTTTGGTTTCGGGTCTTGGGTCATTGGTCTTAAGTCTTTGGTCTTAGGTCTCAGGTATTCAATCTTGGGTCTCTGATCTGTAGCCTCTAGTTTTGGGTCTCTGGTCTTGGATCACTGGTCTTAAGTCTTGGGTCTCTGGTCTCAGGTCTTGGGTCTTTGGTCTCAGGTCTTTGGTCTCTGGTCTTGAGTCTCTGATCTTAGGTCTTGGGTCTCTGGTCTCAGGTCTTGAGTCTCGGGTCTTGGATCTCTGGTCTTAAGTCTTGGGTTTTGGGTCTCAGGTCTGTAGTCTCTGGTCTTGGGTCTATGGTCTCTGGTATTCAGTCCTGGGTCTTGGATCTCTGGTCTGTAGCCTCTGGTCTTGGGTCCCTGGTCTCTGGTCTCAGATCTTGAGTCTTTGGTCTTGGATCTCTGGTCTTAAGTCTTGGGTCTCAGGTCTTGGGTCTTTGGTCTCAGGTATTCAGTCCTGGGTCTTGGATCTCTGGTCTGTAGCCTCTGGTCATGGGTTCTGGTCTCTGGTCTCAGATCTTGAGTCTTTGGTCTTGGATCTCTGGTCTTAAGTCTTGGGTCTCAGGTCTTGGGTCTTAGGTTTTTGGTCTCAGGTCTTTGGTCTCAGGTATTCAGTCTTGGGTCTTGGGTTTCTGGTTTGAGCTGATGAAGGATCCAAGACTTGTAAACTTACTGAAGGTGAAAACAGATTTTATTCAAAACTTGTTTTGTTTATGTAAATTCTTTCTGTTGTTTTAAAGAACTGGTTTTCTGAAGTTTTAATTGGTTGGGACACGCAGAACTCAAACTTTTTTGATTTGTAAAAATTTAAAACGAAAACAACTATTTTCTTCCTTTTAGAGCAATCAGACCCTGAAGTTGGCTTCAGATTGTATTTATGTCTGACCTGCTGAAGTTTTCCTGGAAGGTTAAATGTGTAGAAATCTCATTCTGCTCCTTTTTATTAAGTGAAGATGAAGATCAGATGATGAAGAGTGAGGGACAACAGGTGAGCTGATGTGTGAGATGAAGACAGAAACACGGAGACATGATGATACGTTCCTTTATTGACCTGCAGAGACTCACTTAATAACATCTGTAATTTCAGGGTTCACTGCCTCAGACTTCCTTCTGAGAATATTCTCTCATCTTTTTCTCCATTTCTAAGATTATTTTTTAGACACAAAATCGTTTCTTTCCTTTGGAGCGCTTCAGTTTGTCTCTGCGTTCACATGATGGATAACCAAATTAAAAAAACGACTAAATGGCATAAAGTGTTCAAATAAACGAGTCTTCACTCCGAGACGTTGAACCACACATCGGCCATCTTGGTCAGAGCTTTATCTCAGATTTCTCTTGCAAATTAATTACTTTAAGTTTAATTTATTTGGTTTTAATTCAGCGAAGGAAGATGGTTGCAGGTGTGTTCCCAGGTTTGATCCTCGGGTAAACAGGAAGTAAAAAAAATGGAGGGAAAACCAAACGAGGAAAAAGGAAAAGCTGAGAGATAAAAGAGTTGGAGGCGATTATTCATCAAACCCTGAGTTTTATTGATCCAAACTATTGTTGGTTCAATTACTCTGAACTGAAGAGTGCTTTCATTACAGACTGATTTACACACACACACACTCACAGGTTTGTATTTCTATCCTTGTTAGGACCGTGTATTGACTTGTATTCAGTCGATTCAGTAGCCTGACCCTAACCTATCAAAGCTGTCTCAACATATTAGGACCAGTCTTTGCTCTCTAGGACTGCTGATCCGGATGAGGTAGGTGTGTATACCAGAAACGGTCTTAAAAAGAGAGCACAAACCAGGTACACACACACACGCAGTATATTATTGAGTATTTTCCAACATGTTCTGAACAAACACATTTTATCTCTTATTTAATTTTAAGAACGTCTCACAGGAACAAACTGTTTTGTTTACTTTTGTTTGTTTATGGTCTTCGTGTTGTCCGTTGATCCATGTTGGAGACGTTTGTCTTCGCTCAGATCAGAAGTTTGACATTTAGACGTCGTTTTAGGTCTTTTTATCTCACAGAAACAGCTTCAGATTAAATAAACTGGTTTTCTTCCAGTGTCAGACTCAGAAACACAAGTTTATATTTTAAATCTGAATTATTTAGGTGTGATGATAAGGATCCGAGCAGGAAGTTTAGAAAATATTCATTATTAAAGAGGCTGGAGTTTGTTCTGTTAGATAAACTGGACTTCATTTGTTGGTCCTCTGATTACAGAGTTTAATTATTCTGCAGCTTAACAACTGATAAAACCTGCAGTTTCCTGTGAAATCATCTGATTTATCAGCTGTTTGTTTAGTTTCCATCATGGGTCAAGCTGCTGTCGCTCATCAACACAACAAACTCTTTACCAACAGATGGTTTAATTATTGTTTTAAAGCATATTGACTTTCTGCCAACACGTGATAAAAGGCAGCTGTCAATCATTCAGATTGTTTAACCAGAAATCTGAGCAGCATCGTTGTTTTCAGCTCATTCTGCTGAACAAACACAGCTGCTCACACCGGATCAAACACGTCCGTACTAAAATAAAGACAGAAGCTTTCAGAGGTTCTTTTAATAAATCAATAAAAATATCCCAGCAGCAGTTAACAGCCTCATCCCTACAGATAAACTGACCTTTTTAATCTCGTCTGTAATTAGATGAAAACTGTATTTGACTTCTGTCTGTTTAGTGAAGGTTCATCTCAATAGATGAGAATTCAGTTAAATCATTTATATTTATTTTCTTAGAGGTTGGTTCTTTGTTTGTCCTCTTCTGTAACCTGATAAGTTTCATTAAAGCAGAAAGCTGACAGCTGATTGGACGGTTCTGATGAATGAAATTCAAAACATAATTAATAATTACCTGCAGACATAAGACCACGAAACCTGTGTTGTTTGTCCAACAGGGACAGGCACCTGCTCCCTTATTTACACAGAACCAGAACCTGAACCAGAACCTGAGCCAGAGCCACTGTCAGGGTTAGATTCTTATTGTTTGTCTGGAACTCAAATATTTTATCTTATTGATAAATAAATTCAAATTAATAAATCAATTTTAGCAGTGAAGGGTTTATTTATTATTTATTTTAAAACAACTTCACATTCAGATTTTTTTAAATACCAATCTGATTTCAAGAGTTCTGTTGAAGAGCCATGATGTAACAGTGGGTGATGGTTGGACTAATGTTTGGATGACTGTTGGATAATGGTTGATAGTTGGATGTTTGGATGACAGTTGGATGTAGGAATGGTTGGATGATGATTAGATGTATGGATGATGGTTGAATGACTGCTGGTTGATGGTTGGATGACATTTGGATGATGGTTGGATGGTTTGCTGATAGTTGGATGGTTTGCTGATAGTTGGATGGTTTGATGATAGTTGGATGGATTACCTGATAGTTGGATGGTTTGATGATAGTTGGATGGATTACCTGATGGATGATTTGATGATAGTTGGATGGTTTGCTGATAGTTGGATGGTTTGATGATGGTTGAAAGTTGGTTGAATGATGGTTGGATGGTTTGATGTTGGTTGGATGGTTTGATGATGGTTGATTGTTGGTTGCATGATGGTTGGATGGTTTTATGATGGTTGAAAGTTGGTTGTATGATGGTTGGATGGTTTGATGTTGGTTGGATGGTTTGATGATGGTTGATTGTTGGTTGTATGTTGGTTGGATGGTTTGATGATGGTTGATTGTTGGTTGTATGTTGGTTGGATGGTTTGATGATGGTTGATTGTTGGTTGTATGATTGTTGATGGTTGGATGGAGGTTGAATGGTGGTTGAATGTTAGCTGGATGATGCTTGGATGGCGGTTGGATGGTTTGTTGATGGTTGGATGGTGGTTGGATGGAGGTTGAATGTTAGTGTGATGATGGTTGGATGGCGGTTGAATGGTTTGTTGATGGTTGGATCGTGGTTAAATTTTAGTGTGATGATGGTTGGATGGTGGTTGGATGGTTTGTTGATGGTTGGATGGTGGTTGTTTCAAAGGGTCAGCAGGTTTAAACGACTCACTCATTTAGTTTATAAAACGTCTCAATGCTGAATTCTCCCTGGACACTCATCACTTATTCTGTGTGTGTTTGTGCGGTTGTTTGTGTGTGTGTGTGTGCGCATGCACGGTTGTGTGTGTTTCAGTATTAATACCAGCCTAATGGAGCCCATTGAGAGCTGCAGTTCCCCTCCTCTGAAAATGATTTAATTGCATTTGCAAAGTGGATGAGTCTGTAGGGACTGTTTGCTGCGTCAGGCCTCTCTCTCTCTCTCTCTCTCTCTCTCTCTCTCTCTCTCTCTCTCTCTC